CCGTACCACCTGCCTTCCTAGGGAAACCCTCTCATCTCCAGGTCCCTAATACCTAAGACAGGGGGGTGCTCACCAGTTTTTCACTCTGTTCCACCATGACCCGTACCACGTGCCTTCCTAGGGAAACCCTCTCATCTCCAGGTCCCTAATACTTAAGACAGGTGGGTGCTCACCAGTTTTTCACTCTGTTCCACCATGACTCTCTGTCCTTGGCTGTTCTTACACCAGATAGGCACGTGATCAATGGTGAGCTCTTCGTCAGCCGAGGCAAAGAAGTTCTCTAAAGTCTTACACACCAGCTTGGCCCGGATGAACCCCCCCTTCCCTGGAGCAAGGACGGAATTGACCATGAAGGGTGTCAGCTTGAAGAGGTTCAGCTTCTTCTTCGACTGGTACCTGTAATGCACAACCCAAAGGAACAGTATTTGGCTTTTCTGGCCTTATGGTATTTAATGTCTGCCCTATTCTCTATGGTGACACCACAAGGTAGCTCTAGGTGTCACCACAGTTGATACAGAATTTTTAAAAGACGCCGAGGCGGGCTGGCACCTATGACTCAGTGAGAAGGGTGCCAGCCCCATATACTGAGGATGGTAGGTTCAAACCTGGCCCTGGCCAAACTGCAACAAAAAATAGCTAGGTATTGTGGCAGGCACCTGTGGTCCCAGCTACTTGGGAGACTGAGGCAAGAAAATCACCTAAGACCAGGAGTTGGAGATTGCTGTGAGCTATGACACCACAGCACTCTACCAAGGGCGACAAAATGACACTCTGTCTCTAAAGGAAAAAAAAAGCCACCAAGGTTCTGCAGGTTCACGGTTGATCTGGCTGGCTTTTAGGAACTCCTAGACAACCCAGAAGAGGAATCAGTGACTGGCAGACACTACTGCTCCGAGGTGTGGTCTGGGCTCTGAGAGGCTCCCAAGGGGACAAAGTTTCTTAAAAGCATCACACCTGGGGTACCTGTGGCACCTCAGCTGAGTCTCTCCACCCATTCCACCCCTTTCCAAGGAAAGCCAAAAACCGCTCAGGACTTGTAACATCCTAAACAAGGCACTTTAACCTCTGCACTTCCACTCCAGAAAAATGCAAATGCCCCTTATATGTGAAGAATGTATTTTACAGGACAAAGTACAAATCACTAAATCTGCAAGTGGAGATAAGAACATTACATTTCCGCAGATGGGTGTGGTGTGAGGGCACAAGTGGTCACAAAGATTGTCCCGGGAAAACAGTAAGACAAGGGCAAGGCTCACTTGCGCCCGACGTGCCCGTAGGCCATGGAGTGGAAGGTCTTGCAGGTGACATTGCTGGGGAAGACGTGCTCGGCCTGCTTGGCAATGCTCTTGTTGAAGGTCACGTACAGAAACCTGCTCTGAGACCACTTCTCTGCGTACTTGACCAGGGTGGAGGTCTTTCCAGTGCCTGAGGAAGCCGAGAGGAAAGAGTGACCCTCTGACCTGGCAAAGTGTCCCAAAGGATCCTAATCAGGTCTTGCCCAGCTCTGTCCTGCGTCTGGCCTGAGAGCAAGACAGTGGCAAGTTTTTCAATACTGGCAAGAGGACAGCAGGTTCCAAGCCAGGGTCTCGGCTTTGGCACTTTCCAGCTGAGGACCAAAGGTTGGGCCCCACCTCACTGAACTTCAGGTTGCCCCTCAGCATATGTGGCTGACACCTACCTACAGGGTTTGTGAGGACAAAGATGACCATGGGGGGAGAGGGAGTGAGAGGAAGGCATGTCTTTGGAGAGACACAGATCCAGCTTTAAAGTTTCCTTTACTCACCTATTTCACCTGGGCCAAGTCTCTTAGAGCTTCAGTTTCTCTATCTATAAGGTAAGCCTGAACTAACCACCTTACAGATGACGTCAAGTCAGCGCCATGCAGGCATGCTGCAGGCATGCAATAAGCTGTTCTTAGCAGGATACTTAGCCAGGAAAGAAGCAGGATGGGATTCCAGGAGATTTTTAATTTTTATTTTTTTATTGTAGATTAATATAAACGTACACACAATGAGGTTACATTGTCTGTATTTGTTAGGAAAAGTCTGTTGTATTTGAGTCCTTTACCCAGGAAGTGTGCCATATACTCCTACATTAAAAATACGGAATACAGGCCAGGAGTGGTGGCTCGCACCTATGACCTTAGCACTCGGGGAGGCCGAAGCAGGTGGATTACTTGAGCTCGAGAATTTCAGACCAGCCTAAGCAAGAGCAAGACCCTATCTCTACTAAAAATGAAAAAACTGAGGCAAGAGGATCACTTGAGGCCAAGAGTTCGAGGCTGCTGTGAGCTATGATGCCACAGCACTCTACCCAGGGTAACAGAGTGAGACTCTGTCTCAAAAAAAACACAACAAACTAGAACACTTCACAGATTTACATGTCATCTTTCCACAGAGGCCTCACTAATCTTCTCTGCATTGCTTCAATTTTAGTATATCTGCTAAATATTTCCAGATTTTGACAAAAGAAAATGCATGAACACAGGCTATGACAAAAGGACACTGTAACCAGCAGCTCGGCTCAGCTGACAAGGTGGGACAGAAGTAACTGGGGACCCAGGCCGTCTAGCGTCACCAGACAAAGCCAGGGAGCAACTGAAACCCTCTGCGCTGGAGATGACCATGGCCCCCCTGCCCAGAAGCCATCAGTGCCTGAGCATGCGATGATGATGATGATGGACTCAACCGATCCGGGGGGCACCCACCCCACAACGATTCCCTCTGAGCCACCCACACAGCAGCAATTCTAGTGTGGCTGTTCACTGGGGGTGTGAGAGAGGCCAAGCATCCTGGGCTCTCTGCTTTGGAGATTATCTGACTGATCAAGGTAAGCTGCCCTGGCAGGTAGCAGGCAGGGGTCATGTGACAAAAGGCAGGAACACCACATCCAGAAGCTGACCTGGGTCCCCTCACCTGCAAAAGCCATGATCTTCACCACCTGGAGAGGCTCCATCTTGTGATTCAGAATCAGCTGCTGTTCATGCGTGAGCTGGATGGTTTTCTTGCTATAAGCATTAAAGAGAAATTAGAAAAAATAAAAAGGAATTGAAAAGCTCAGGGGACAGACTGTCCAAAAACCAAAAAAACAGGGTGAACGAAAGTTGACCCCGAAAAGGCCTCCCCTTAGAAGGATAAACATGCTCTAAAATTGGATTACAATGCCAGCTGCACAGCTCCGTAAATTTACTACAAATGGCTGGATCACACTCTAAGATGGGTGGATTTCCCGTGAGGCACAACATGCCTCCACGCAGCTGGTAGAGTGAAACACCTCCGGCCAGAAGTACAGGATGAGTGGAGGACGGGAGGGGAGACGCGTCTACACGGCACTCACCTGGGCCAGACTGCCGCCTCCTCTCTGACCTTTGTGGCCTGAGCACAGGAATTCTCCTGAAGGTATAGGCAATAGAAAATGTTGTAGTGAATCCTGATAGGGAAAAAGGGAGATTTAGAGACTTTCAAATTCAACTTACAATGTATATCTTATTTTTCCTCAAATGTGTTTAAACTCCTTACCAGTCCTAAAAAGAAAATACTACAATTGTTTAATGAGGGGGGGAAAAGAATTTAAACACATCTCCAGCTGGGCAGCGCCTGTTGCTCAGTGGGTAGGGTGCCGGCCCCATATACTGAGGGTGGCGGGTTCAAACCTGGCCCCGGCCAAACTGTAACAAAAAATAGCCCGGCGTTGTGGCATTGGGTGTTGTTGAAGCTGAAGCCAGGTCAGCTTCTGGGTGTGATGTTCCTGCCTGTACTTTCAGCTACTTGAGAGGCTGAGGTAAGAGAATCTCCCAAGCACAGGAGTTGGAAGTTGCTACAAGGCGTACCAAGGGCAACACTGTCTCTAAAAAAATAAAAAAATAAAAAAAAAATACACCTCCAACTGACAACGGCCCTGGGGGAATGATCCTGGGAAAGCTGCCTCATTTATGCACCAAAGGCCAGGAGGAAAAAGACCAAGAACAGAGTGCTAGCTGTGCCGCAGAGACAGACAACCAAACGCGGTAAGAACCAGTGGGCAAAACTGTAAACTCTGTTTCCAGCAAAGAGATTCTTGTTTGAATAAGATAAACTTAATGCTGCCCCTTTCTAAGCCTCAGTGGCTCTGCTGCCTACGCCTTGTGAAGAGCCTTAGTCTGGAAACACAAGCAACATTCTTTCAGGGTCAGAAAGGAAAGGAGAAGGGCTACACAGGTAACAAGACATGACCACTGAGGATCAGAAAACAACTACCCCAGAGTGACCAAAGGTGACAAGGTTCAATGAGCAGCTCAGACGCTGTCGGATGCAGCCCATGCACGCCAACCCCAATACCTTGAGCATCCACACTGAGCCCAAACTCTTCCCCTGATGGCAGATCCCCCATAACCAGGCGCACCTGCCCAGTCTCCAACCGGAGGGAGATGAGCATGATTCCAAGCACCCATCTAATTGATGCAGCATATACCGCTGATGGCACATTTCAGTCTGTGGTCAAATTACCTCCCAGGTAAAACAGGAAGAAATACAGACACCTAACAGGAATCAACACAGCACACTGCCAAGAGCTGAGCTGCATATGCCCCAGAAACTTGTGAGTTGAAGCCTTAACCTCAAAGGTTTAAATGCTGGGAGTAAGGATGGGATGTAATTAAGGTTAAATGAGGTTACAGGATTAGTGCCCAAGAAGTGACACTGGAGCTCTAATTCTCTGCCAGGAAGGGACTCAGTGAGAAAGTGGCCACTTGCATGCCAAGAAACTGGTTCCTACTCAAGACAGGAATCTGCCAGCACCTCGATCTCAGACTTCCAACCTCCAGAACTGTGAGAAAACAAGCACTGTTAGTTCAGCCCACAGGCCGGGGCACTGTGCTCTGAGTGAGACATGCCGCCTGATCTTCTTCTGTGTCTGTGCAAATGTGCAGATTATTTGCAGGTTAAGATTTGAATGTAAGCACATTATTCATCATTTCTGCACATGTCCTGTCCAAACCACACCATAAATAAAGCTCCTTGCCCTGATGCCACAGATAGGACAGAATAAACCAAGTTAACTAAGTGACACACACGTGGGGTGTGGTGGCCCTCGCCTGAAGTCCAGCACTCTAGGAGGCTAAAGTGGGTAAATGGCTTGAGCTCAGGAACTTGAGACCTGAGCAAGAGCAAGACTTGTCTCTACTAAAAATAGAAAAACTAGCCAGGTGTGGTCTCAAAAACTTGGGAAGCCGAGGCAAGAGGATCGCTCAAACCCAGGAGTATGAGGTTCCTGTGAGCAAGGCTGGCGCCATGGCACTCTACCCAGGGCACAGAGTTGAGACTCTGCCTTAAAA